TTGTGGAAATATGGGTAAATACTTTTTTTTTCCAGCTAATTATCTGTAAGATTGAATTTTCAAAGGAAATAGAAATCAAGCAAATTGAGTAGTTAGGGATATTCGTTTTCTTACTCAAGATATCCGATCTTGCTGACAAAAAGACGACTACAACTACTAACCATAGAAAACCCAGATGTCTAACGAGGCTTGTCAACTTTAAAACCTAAGGTACTGTCTAATTTATAAATATTTTCAAAATAGAAGATGAGATAATGAAATTCTTGAATCTTACTCCCTCTGTTAAAAAATATAAGATATTTTTTGAGGAGTTATATATTTAAAAATAAAAGACATTTTTAGTCTTTCGAGGTGTAATTATTATTTTTTTAAAAAAGTGTCCCTATTGATAAATAATTTTATATTTATTATAGGGTGTTTAATAAAGGTAAATATGAAAAGATAGGATTAGTTTAAAAGTGGGTAACTATTTTATTGAAGGTGAGATTCGGTTAAAAATATCTTTTATTTGTTAATGGAGGGAGTATATATTAGCTGGTTGACAAGAATTACCATTGTGAAAAGTGTATTTATCTTCTTCCATTCCAAATTAGTGAAATCAAAATGATGACATGCTTAATGATGTCAATTCGATTATCCGTAAAAAAGAGATGTTAGGACAATTATGAGATTTTGAAAATTATTTCCAGGTAATAAGAAATCAATTTTCTTGACCCAAAAAAATAAAAGTAATCAATTTTGATCGATAAAGCACCAAATCAAATAGCCCGCGAAAGAGAACAAACAAAAGTATGATTGATAAATTCTTCATGATCACAACCAAAAATATACTTAGTGTTGTTCTGTAAATGATGATGCTTTAAGACATTACGTGCTGGAATGGCCTTGGTAAATACTTTTCATGTGAGCCAAGGGAATTTTCTACTTAGATCTAGTTTTCATAAGAGTTTTCAAGGAAAAGGAAACAAATTATCAAAAGAAACCAATGTTTGTAAGAAACATTCTCTAACAAGATAATTACCTAAATGGCTCCACAGCCATGTTAGTTTATCTTGTTAATTATGAGCAGAAATTGAAGAGGTAATAATATGATGCAAATCAATAACATTGTCAAACCTAGGGACATGGTCATTGCCTTTGTTCCATTTTATAGGTTGCCAAGGTAAAATAAAAATAGCGTATCATATAGAGAAAATTGGCACAGTGGCTGTAAAATATATAGCCCCCAAAAAATCTAGACAAAGTTTATAAAAATTTGGAGCATAGCTCTTTACAAATTTAGGTAGCATGTGATATTCCTTCTTTGCCTAACAAAAACTCTTCTTAACAAATATCTAAAATTTTAGGTGCTATATATCTAAAATAGAAAACAATATATCTCGCATAACTTATCTATAATTTTGAATTTCATATAATATGCACCTAATAATTTAAAACAAAATGTAATATTTTTTTTAGATAATAATAACATTTTTGAGAAAATATTTAGAATTTTACATTACCAAAAAATATAATTCAAACTCCCGATTGAAGTTGGCTTTACTTCTCGTTTCTCAAAGTAGAGGATTAGGTTGTGATCTATTATCTATTATTTACCATCTTCATATTTCTTGGCAACATCTTCATCGAATAGTTGTTTATTTGTTCATAGTCTGTGATTTGTTCTCAATGATCATGAAACTTTGTTTAGATCATTACTAGAAAATACAAATCTCTCATTGTTCATATTTTTTATTTTATTAGTTTAGGTATTTGATTCTTTATGATAAACTAAAAATTTGAAATTTTTTACGGACTGTATTTAATCCATTTTGGGCAAATGATTATGTGTTTTTCATATTATTAATATGCGATACTACATCAATTGATATACAGTTGTATATTAATGATAAACAAGTTTATATCTAATTATTTGGTTATATTGATTTACAATAGTATATCAGTTGTATATCTATATCACTGATAGATAAGTTATATCAATAAAAACTTACTAACACCATTTTATCTTATAAATATGGGGATAATGTTTAATCTCGTCATTTCCTATGATGGAGAATGAGATTCGAACAATCGTTATGTCAATGGTTCATACATTGAATTACTTGTAGACAATTTTTGCTTCACACATTCACTAATGATAAGGCTTGTTGCATGCCTATGATCATCACGCACGATATCAACAGCACAAACATATAACATATTGTCTAATTGACCAAACTCGAGTAGAAGAAATCATTAAGTCCTGTACATACCATTTACAACCATCAACACTGCAAGCAACAACAAACCTCTCAACATTTGATTTGAAAATTTTCTATTTAAAATTCCTTTTCATAGCTAAGAGTTGCAAAACTTTTTGAACATTCAATTTGCTAAAGAACATATCTCCCTTCTTACTGTCATCCATTTGCAAAAGCTCATCGGTTCCACTATAATGATTATTATTGGTAAATGTAGAAGAACATGAAGTTAATAAACTAGCTCCTTTATGACCAGGTTCAAACACTTTTTGTATGGACAAAGGTCCATTGAAAATAGAGACAATCAATGAAAAGTTAAAGAAATTAGAATTTTTTAATGAATTAAAATATAATATCAAATCATTGTTATTCTTAATCTCTAAAATGATATATATTGAAGTTATAATATCAAAAGAAACATCAATTTGACTTCATGACTCACATTCAACCGTAATGTCTCCTAGACAATTTTCATGACATTAAGTTATGAAATTGTATTATTCACAAGCACTTTAAGGTATGAACCATCAACATAATGGATGTTCGAATCCTATATCCTCATATCTATATGATAAAATGGTGTTTGTAAGTTTTCATTGATATAGCTTATACATATAACCAGACAATCAAACATAAATTTATTTATCATTGATATACAACCGTTTATCAATGAAGTAGTATCGCATATTAGTAACACAAAAAATACATAATCATTTGTCCAAAATGGATCAAACACAGTTAATAAAAAATTTTGCACTCTTAACTTATCATAGAGAATCAAATATTTAAACTAATAAAATAAAAAATCATGAACAATTTAAGTCTCGTTTGTTTGCCTTGCTCTCTTGCATTTAGGGTGTTCAAGCATTTTCAAGAGCGAGAGCATTATAATTTTAAAAGTGTAGTTTTGTCAATTAAATTTCAAATAAATATTAAAAGGCCATTATTTAAATTTAAGAAAGGTTGGTCTATTATTTATACTTGATCCTATGATATAGGTTAAATTTGCAAAAGTCCCTATCATATGGGATTTATTTATACGGAAAGTTTATTTAAATGTATGAGAATGTAATCTTAATAAACATATTATATTGATGGGCAAAAATTTACATATTTTATATTTATCTATTTATTTATTTTTTCCATTACATTTATCTATTTATAAAATCAATAAAAAATTATATGAAAGATAATATGAATTAAGTTTTTTAATGATGAAATAATTTTTTTTGTGAATCTATCACATTTTTTATAATTATTATTTACTAATGTTTTTTATAAGTTCAAGTATAATATTTTCATTTTGTTTTCATTTTTTTAATTTCTTCATATCTGGTCATCTATTTAATACTCTCCTCGTTAAAAAATGTAAGGCATTTTTTGAGGAGTTACTATTCTGTTTCTATTTATAAGAGAAACTATCAATTTTTACTTGTTTTTTTATATAAGCAAAATCATGTATTTCAATAAGTATTTATTACACATTTTTTAAATCGTCTCTCATAATTTACATTAACGAGAAATAATTAATGCATACTTATGTTGATTAATATAGGGTATTTTAGTCCAATTTCTTTATTTTCAGACATAATTATTATAATTAATTAACTTTTTTAAACTGTGATATAATTTTTTTCTCTTATATATGGAAACTGAGGGAGTAGATGTTAAAAAATGTAAGGTATTTTTAATCTTTTGAGGTGTAATTATTTTCTTTTTTTTCAAAAGTGCCTTGTTAATGAATGGCTTTATATTTATTATAGGATATTTAAGAGGGGTAAATATGAAAAGATAGGATTAGTTTGAAAGTAGATAACTATTTTATTGAGGGGTGAGATTTAATTAAAAATATCTTACATTTTTTTGCAGGTGAAATATAAAAAAAATTACGAAATGTTTTCCATCGAAAAAAATAACGAAATTTTATTTTTTGCGCTCCGAAGCTGAATTTTAGCTAGAAGTTTATTGGTCGCATTGTTGCAATGTCAGTCTAACTAAACTCCGACAATTGACAAACAGAAATTCAGGAAAATTTTCGCAAAAGAAAGAAAATAACGACATTTTATTTTAAGAGAATCCCACACGGATTTATTGATAATAATAATTTAACAAAATAAAATAAATTTTTTTATTATTTTATTCTCTCAAGTTGTAAATAATTTCATGGTATTCTCCGGGTCCAAAACATTAGAATTTTTTTTATTAATTTTAATCTAAAATATAAACAAGTTAATATTTATAATTTTTTATTTTATTTCTTATATTTATTAATTTAGTTTTTTATGTTTATGAACTTATAATATTTCTTTTATTCATCATAAATTTGAGCTAAAAGTTAAAAAAAATTCTAAAAAATATGAATCTTATTGATATCCATATTATTATTAAAACATACTCCTTTCATTAAAAAAATGTAAGGTATGTTTTAAAAAATTAAATGTTAAAAATGCAAGATATTTTTAATCTTTCGAGATATAATTATTATTATTATTTTAAAATATTTTTATTATTAATAATTTTATATTTAATATAGAGTGTTTAATAAAAATAAATATAAAAAAATAAAATTAATTTAAAAATAAATAATTATTTTTTTAAGATATAAAATTTAATTAAAAATATTTTATATCTCAAAACGAGGGAGTATTTTATTTGACACAGAAAAATACAATCCTTGTCAGGGCAGAAAAGCACTAAGCATTAAAAAAATGGAATTAAAATGCGATTAGTCCTCGGAAAGTGGAAGATTTCTGCACAAGAAGACGTCTAGAGATTGGAATGATCTATACGTTGTTCTCTCTCTCTCTCGCCCCTCCTTTTTCTTCGCTTTAATTCTTCGAATCACCAAAAAAAAAAAAACACACACACACACATAATCGTCGTCATTGCCGGGTCATCTTTTGCATCAGAATTCCAAGGTGGGTTTGTCTCATTACTTCATTTTCTGCTTTGCTATTAGTATAATCATCACCTTCATGGTGAGTTTGATCTTCTCTAGCTTGGATTTGGTTCCTTTTCTTTTTTTGGGCGTTTCGATGTGATTAGGTTAGTGTCAACGTAGTCTATTTTTGTCAAAGTGCTCTACTTTGACTTTTGAAGTTCCGTTTTCTCCGGGTTTAGCTGCTCGGCTCACTTGGATGTGGCTTCGCGATTTCGCTGCATAATCTATTGTATTTTCTTTACATGAGCTGCTTTTGAATGAGGGTTTCGTATCGGTTTTTATCTCTGGGACTTAGCGTACTCTTTGATTTGATTACAATTCGTGCTTTTGCATTTTCTGAAATCTTTGTCGATGTCAAATTTGCCGAACATTCGTGCGAGAATAAGCATCTGAAGTTTGGCCGCTTTCTGCTTTAGCAATTCATGCATTGTGCAGGAGCAGTATTTTGCTTTGTTTGTATCTGATGCTATTTTGTTTTATTTTGTTCCTAAACTTGTAATGTTTGTTGTCTTTTATTTTACCTCTACTAAAGCAAATATTGCGATTGAGTTTGTGAATTGATTTGAGCGAGGGGTTGTTTTGATAAGGCAGAGGGCGAATTGAGGACAAGTTGGCGATGATGTATGGGCCGTGTAACCGGGGTTGGTTCTGAAGATGAGAAGGGAGCGGTGAGAAGGATGCCGAGCTTCGATTCTCAACTATCCATTTCCAATGCACGGTATATTTCTGGTCTTCATCATTTTTTGGTGAGTGCCTTCTCGGCTTCATATTTATAGTTATCTATTGAACTATTCAATGTTGTTCACTGCATTAATGGAAGAGTCTTCGTTCCCCCTTCCTTCTTACTCTTGTTCTTTTTTAACGTTGTGGATGGCATAAGGAATGCCTAGAATGCTGCTGATATTCATTTTTGCTCTGGTATCTTTAATTTGGAATAGTAAATAGTTCGATGAAGTTACTCTTGAAGTTAATTATATGATTTTTTTTGGTTATTAATTAATTTTTTTTATAAATTATAGTTTTTTGAACCAGAACTTGAATAACGTTTATGTATTTGGTTGTCTAAATTATAGCATATGTGGTTTTGATTATTTTAATTAAAATTGGGTATGTGTCTCAGTCAGAAATTCTAACTATAACCTTGAGGTAGTTTGCTTTGGTGATATACATGCTACAACTAGTGGAGATATAATTAGACTTGTTGTATTGCGGTTAAGGGGTTACTTTCGTTTGAGACATGCCAATGACAAACTTGCTTTCTTAGATGATTTATTTTCTCCTTGTTTTTGGACTAAGGATAATGAGCTTCTTTGTCAAGAAGCTTTTAAAGCCAAGAGAGAGATAGGCATTGATAGACAAAATTTGGGTACATTTGTTAATTTGAGGAGTGCAAATGCCTTTGCCTTTTGTTTTGTGGAGGCTCATGTTGTTATGACAAGCTTCTGGCGGTTTTATTTTGGCTTAGAAGTCCTATAGATTTTAAGATTTTTGGGGATTGAAAATCTTGGGTTACTTGGATTTTCTTTACTGCAGTGCTGCTGATAAAATGAATTGGATTATACTAAATTATGTTATTATGAATTAAGGAAACCTTTAATGGTATTTTTAAAATGTCATTAACAATAGCGCATTTTGTGCTATGTACTTCCTGCATGGCGTTTGTGGGTGGATGCACTTGCAGATTATTTGATTAAGTGCATGAGAGTTATGGTAGAATAATGGTGTATGTGCAAGGGCAATGATGAATCTGTAAATGACCATCTTGGATGACAGCTAGAACTGCAATTTTGAGATGGATCAGAAGTTTGTACTGGGAAAGCTGGCACTAAGTTCTGGTTTTATTTTCATATTCATCTGAGTTTTTGATGATTTATGTTTTACATGCTTTCTGAAAAGAAACACATTGGCTATTTTTGTTAACCTAAAACTGAAGATCTGTTTTTCACATTTCAGTTATACTGAGGGAAGCACCATTGATTCTTTTTGTGTGTCTGACTTTAGAGATCAATCAGTTGGATATCGCTTAGAGGATGCTACTGAACTGAGTGGAAGTAAGTGTATCTTGTATTTAATTCAGATGAGTTCACATGGAACAATCTTTATATGGGCACTGCATTATACTATTATCTCTGTTGATTTCAAGCATCAGATCATCTTTACATGAATTTTTTTGTTTGTTAAAATGATCTTGAAGTAACATTTCATCATAAACGCTGTGGTGATTCAGCACTGAGAATGAGAAAAAAGAATTTATTAGTCACGCTAACACGCACATGGGCATATATATACAGTGTTGCTTTTGGGGGAAGATTTAGACATCTACTAGTGTAACCTGATTAATTTATTTTCTATATTCTTTTTAGCAGGTTTAGTCTTGTTTTTCACCCTTTCCTAGTTTTCTTCTCTGATGCTTTTTCTGGTTATATGATTCAGAGTCAGCTTTAAATTTATTAAAAGTGATTACGCGTACACCTTCTTCAGGTCCTGTTCACACAGGTACTTTTGATAAGGTGAGTTTCCCTAATCATCATCTAACAAACTTTCAACTTTGTTAGAATTTAAACATGGTATTTTTTAAGCAAGCTATTCATATTTTGTTTTTTGTTTTGTTGTGTTTTGTTTTTTTAACGCAGTTTCATACTTCAGTTGATAAAGACAGATTCCAAGTAAGCAGAGTCACTAAGTTTGCAATTACAAAAGGCCCAATAATATAATCTGGTAATTACCAAGAGGTAATACAGAAAACCAGCAAGAGTTGGCCATGGCTGATGCCAGTCCTAGGACTGATATTTCGACGGACATTGATACTGACGATAAAAATCAGCAGGTAATGTTTGATAAGTCTAATGATACCCCATATTTCCACAATTGGGTACCAGTTTATGTTGAACCTATTGTCATGAATAATCAGTCTACATTTAAACAGTATTTGAACACATGCATGTGCTGAAGCCTTTGCCAAGTGCCATGTTTTTCATGGAATCAGAGTTGGAAATTATAATTTTGCTGGTTGATTTCTGTTGACAATCTGACCGTGTATGCATGCTTTTGCAGTATGATAGAAATCAATCCCTTGCTGCAGCTTCTGACTCCAGTGATAGATCAAAGGATAAAACAGATCAGAAGGTTATATATCTAAATCATATTTGTATGTGTAATATATAAAATTTTTAGTTGTATCTTTCACGAGATGCTTGTTTCATTTAATTATTGCAGACTCAACGCAGGCTAGCTCAGAATCGTGAGGCAGCAAGAAAAAGCCGATTGAGAAAGAAAGTATGAAATACGTTTGCTATACCTTCTTATATAAAATTTATCAATATTTCTTTTCTTTAAATGTGTTTGTGTGTGACTCCATATGAATATTGCTATTAAATCAATATCAGTGAAAAGGATAGAACTGCCTTGACTTACAGAATATCTGTGTAGTTTTCATTCTTAAATGTGCCATAATTTCTACGTGGTTCTACTTATCTTGATGATCAATTTGGATCTACATATTTGAGTAACTTACCAGTAAGTGCAGAGAGATATATGAGGATCACCAATGAGTCTCAATTTCCAATTATTGACCCTTTGTTTTCATTTCAGCAGCTAAAGAAGGTCATTAGGTATCCCTTTTAGTGAGTATTTTTGCGTTATATGTTCATAATCATGCTTATTTGGGTTTCTCCTTTAATAGGATTTAAATTCTTAAGCATTCTTCAATTTTTGATAACAGTCCTTTGTTTCAGAGGCACAAGCATATTATCCTTTTCCTTTTCTATTTTTCTCATATCCAGTGATATGATATTGGAAATAAGCTGGGTGCTTGGATGTTTCTTGTGTAATGTTCACATACAACAGAGAGTATATCATGTTAGATTAAGATATGCAACCTCATATAATCACATACGTGCCTTTTGCAGTGATGATGGTAGTAGAATCAAGTGATTTCTTTATGATGTAGGCTTGATGCCATAAGCTCATTTGTGAAATGCATCTTTTTGCTTTTCGTTATAGGCATATGTCCAACAGCTGGAAAGCAGTCGTTTGAAGTTGACCCAACTAGAGCAAGAGCTTCAGCGAGCTAGGCAGCAGGTAAGATATATTTAATCTTTTTTGTCCAAAAATGTTGTTTGTTATTCTTTGCACGTAGAATGCCTCAACAGTCTTCAGCACTGCATACCCTACTTGTTTTTTGTTTGACACAGTGCTTGGCCAGCCATGTTTAATATAAACCAAAATCTCTTGTTCCTTTCTGGTAGGGAATCTTTATATCAAGCTCAGGCGATCAAACAAATGCAATGAGTGGAAATGGTATCTCTTCTGTAATATGTTATTCCTTCCATAACTTTGATTGCTGAAATAGTTGGAAAAATAGATGCATTATTTGCACAAGCTGATCAATAATCATATTGCCTTACAGGGGCTATGGCATTTGATGTAGAATATGCAAGGTGGCTGGAAGAGCAGAATCGCCAAATTAATGAGCTAAGAGCAGCTGTAAATTCTCATGCTGGTGATACAGAACTTCGCATGATTGTTGATAACATATTGGCTCACTATGATGAGATTTTTAGGCTGAAAGGTACTGCAGCTAAGACTGATGTTTTCCATTTGTTGTCCGGCATGTGGAAAACACCTGCAGAGAGGTGTTTTTTATGGCTTGGTGGCTTTCGATCATCTGAACTCCTCAAGGTGAGCTTATTCTGATCCTTTTCTTTGTAGCCCTCATGGTTCACTTGGTTAAAGAAAGAGTAGGACACATCTATGGGTCCTTTGAAGTTTCGACTATTATAGGATAGGTGCATCTTACTTAGTTTGAGAGTTTTCTAAATATTTGTTGGAAGTATGCTGGATTGCCTTGTGGCATCTAAATTTGTTGTTGATACCTCATTTCTGGTTGATCAAGTATCTAATTAATGATACAATATTTTTACGTAGGACTTTGAGTTGCTGTTAGTTTCTTCAGATTCTCTATTTACTCTCATATGTTGTCATTAATTCCTGAAGTGGAAACTCTAGTCATATTTACTCTTTATTTAATCTTATTCTAAGGGAATTCTATGAAAATGAAAATCTGCCTTGCTCCTTCAGGCTTATTCGTTTGCAATATTTTGCTTGGGTCCTATTTAGTTTGGATTCAATTAAGTTAAGAGTTAGAGAGAAGCTGGCTGGTTGGAAATGAAGCATCTGATAAAACTATAAAAGTTATGTCATTTTCTATCATGCAACGTGAATTCTGATAATTATGAGCTTTGACCAAGATTATTTATTTCCGAGGTCTGACTTGGATGCCATGTTTCCAGCTTCTGATAACTCAATTGGAACCTCTCACAGAGCAGCAGCTGGTTGGCATTACCAACTTGCAGCAATCCTCTCAACAAGCAGAAGATGCATTATCTCAGGGTATGGAAGCTTTGCAACAGTCCCTGGCTGAGACATTATCTAGTGGATCATCTCTCGGATCTTCTCGTTCCTCAGGGAATGTGGCAAATTACATGGGCCAAATGGCTATGGCCATGGGTAAGCTGGGCACACTAGAGGGTTTTATTAGACAGGTAAATTTATTTCTTGCTAGTATGTGATAGGGACCGTTTTCTCATGATAGTTTGTGAATGTTTTATTCCCATCTTGGCTTCCTAATGGATTTTAAATCTGATAAAAATTTAAGTACGCTGGGCAGATAGAAGTAATTTTTTGCCCCAGAAGTATTTTTAGAGGAGCTAAAGCACCCTAAAAAAATTGTGGAGCAGTGTATCACATAATCTTTCAAAACTAGTGCAATGCTCCCCCCTTTTAGCAGTCAATGTTGAGTCCAAAAAAGCCTCCCAACCTGCGCTAATGATTGACTGTTGAAAAGGGACAACATTGCATCGGTTTTGAAAAATTATGCTCTACTTTGTTTCAAAATTTTCTTCAAAGTGCTCATAGCTCATTCGGAAATAGTTTCGGGGAAAAAATACATCTTGACCTTTTTTAAGATGTATTATGTGCCGTAGGGGAGGAAGTGGTCAAATTTGACTCTCTAGTGTTAACTCTCTAGTCTTGGTAGTGTTTCTGAACTTTTCTGGCAATTTAACATCAACTTTTTTGTCTGCATTGTTTTGCCAGTTTTTTAGACATCATTATTCATTGGCATGCAACTTGATAGCCAGAAGTTCTATTTTCTCACTCTGGGCTGCATTTCTTTGGTGTTTATTAGGCTGACAATTTGCGGCAGCAAACACTGCAACAAATGCACCGTATATTGACAACTCGCCAATCGGCTCGGGCCCTTCTTGCTATACATGACTACTTCTCTCGACTTCGCGCCCTTAGTTCCCTCTGGCTGGCTCGCCCAAGAGATTGAAGGGTAGAAGATTACCTGTTATTTAATTTGGCTTTCGTGGATCTAGCACCAGCAATTCTTGACCACAATAGGTACTACTACCTCTACAGGTTTTCTTGTGTTGTAGTCTTTCTGTAATACCGATGTAAGTGCTTCATTTAACCACACAGTGTAGAATTGTTGAGAAGCAGGCACTATGTCTGATGCTTTTATCACTAATAATACTGTCCATTGTAATTGTAACCCAAGGTTTTTCTTCTTTTTCTTTCAGGGTAGGCCTGTGTTAGTTTTGAACAGGCTCAAAAAAAAAAAAAAAAACCTGAGTTTATTTATTTATTTTTTTCCCCTTGCTTTTTCTCCCAAGTGTTTGCTCTTGATTCATGTTCTGTTTATTCTCTAAAAACTTGCGTCAGCTTGTGATTCTTGGTGTTACCAAGGTGAGGTTTTGGCCCCAAACTCATCTTGTTCTGAAGGTTCCATGTGCCTGTGTGATTGATGGAATGCTTTACTGTGGAAAAGGTAAAACTTGAATAGCAAACAAATGAAAATTGAAAATAGTTTGAACATATTGACACGAGGCAGTGTACGATACAGTTCATTCTCATCTTTTCAGTCAATCACTGCTTTTCTATGGTCAAGGTCAGTCGATTGTTGCTAGTTGTTGGTTCATGGCGGGAGGAAACATTGGTCGTGTTGTTATGTGTCCCATGTTTCTTCACTTCTTGAGGCCTTGCCTGGGACTTTAAAATTAATCCAAAATGATTACACTAAACTTAAACGAAATAAACTGACGTGAACGGATTTGATCGGATTATAAATGAAGTCAGGTCTAGGTTTTTTATGGCAAAACTGCGCTTTCGGTTTTTTGAAACTTGAATCAAATTGAATCAAGCTTTTGTTATATCTATTTTATATTTTTTAATAAATTTATCCAAATTTTTCTCCCTTTTCCAAATTTGGTTATCTATAAATTACTAATTAAAATGTTGCACTTAGTTAAACATTATCTATAATTATTTATGATAATTTTTTAATTTTATAATCAAGTTTTAAGGATAACATAGCTTTTAATAGATAAATGTATTAAATAATTGCTAAAAAATTATGTTCTTGAGTTTTTTTCATTGAAAATAGTAATTAATTAATTATTTTTTCTCCTTGCTTTTTTCTCCCCAGTATTTGCTCTTAATTCATATTCTTAATTCATATAATCAAGTGTATTGCTTATGAAATATTTAAAAAAAAAATTCAAACTTCAAAATTGATTAGACAAAAAAAAAATCAAATAAATCCTGAGTTTTAATAAATTGATTCATTTAGCTCGGTTTAATATTTTTGTAATATTAAACCAAACCAAACTTACATCCTCGGCCTTGCCAATGAAGATGGCATGCATGATGCCTTAAAAAAAATAGTATCTTAGGATGTGGTCAATGAAATAATTGCAAACCATTTTCTCCATTCTAACTTAGAAGGTATTTTTTTTTTTGATAAAATTATACACACCATTGAATATAGTTTATAATATTAATTTTTTTATAAATATTCAAAAATACCTTTAATTTATAAGAGAGAAGGAGGAATGAAATTTATTTAAGGAATGAACTAATAAGAGGTGATATTAACATTATCGTAATCAATAAAATCTTTTTTTTAAAGCTTCTTATATTTTGAAATATCAAATTACATCTAAAAATGGCTTTAATTTTATTTTAACCATATAAAACTTTAGTCCATAAGATTTTTTAAAAAAATTAGTGCCTAAAATTTTATTTTCTAAAATGTAAAGATCAATATTTTAAACTTCAATTCATTAAAATTATAAAAACTAAGTTGCTTTAAGTAAAAAAAAAAACAAAGAAAGAAAGAAAGAAAAAATTAGATTTCAACAGAATCAAAATTATATGAACTGAATTATACCAAGTTAAAGTTTAGACTTTAGAGAGTAGATTTTAACTAAATCAAAGCTAGATAATAAATAGCAATTTTATATATTTTTATCCTTTTAATTTAGACTTTTAAATATTTATTTGAAGCTAATTGAGTTTAATTAGATATTATTTAATTTTATTAGCCAATATTTAGTTTTAGAATTTTAACTAATTAAATCTTTAATTTTAAAACATAAATATTATCTTTAATATTTTTGTACATGTGCTATTTAATTTTATTTTCTTTGTGCAGATCTTTTAAATTCAATTTGAAAGATATTGATAGAGAATATATTGGATAAGAAAAATATGAGCATGTTTGGAGATCAAATCAAAAATTAAATCTTTAAAATTTTATTTAAATTTATTTTAATTTATTTAGTATAGTTTTTAATTAGGGTAATTTAAAAAAGTTTTATTATTTTATTAAATTATTAGAAATTTTGCTTTAAAAGCACGCACAGGACGCTGCATCCCTTTTATCTATAAAAGCACGCAGAAAAGACGCAAATAGAGATGTACATAAATCATGACTTGACGACTTTACTAAGAAGAGGGGCATCGCGTCTTTTGTTCTGTTGTTCAGCTGCTGAGGCGATAATTTTTCAATTTCTCATCTTATATTGTTTAATTTTTAATTTTATAAAAAGTTAATTTTTAATGTGATCAATCACAAATTATGATCTTAAATTTTAATCAGAATCTTTGATATTTAAGGAAGAATTTATTTTAACTTTATTCCAATTTACTCTTCTTCTCTCTACCTTTAAATTTTATGCTTTAATTGCTATTGCTAATTAGAGTAGTTTTATTACATAATTTTTAAATTATAAATTTTATTTGAGGTTTTGTTTGCTATAATCGATTGATATAGCATTGTAAGAGTAATTTGACCTAATATGGATGATTACCCATGCTTTATTTTTAGTGTGACTAACATGAAACAGTTGTTAGGTTGTGGGTTAAAAGATATCTCAATTAATCTATAACTTAATTTCTTATTTAATTCTTAAATGATAATTTGAGAAATATATAATAAAACCAAAATAATAAAATTAAATAAAATTAATTTAATTTGTGGACGAGAAAAATTAAATTTAGATGATTGAGTTGTGATTGATTGCGCTGCTTGTTCTTGATAATTTTTTTAGTTAAATTTTCTCTATTTATTTAATTCTAATTTAGTTTTAACTTCATAAAACCCCCCCACTTTTTAGCTTTTCATAATCATAATTTAAATAGTTACTCTATTGACTTTTAAGAAGACGATCTAAGTTACACTTTATTGCAAAATCTAATTTTTATTAATTTTAGTGCTGACAGTATGTCACTAGAGGAACTACATGATTAGTTTTCTGCTGATAACATGAAATATATACTCATTATGTCATAATTATAGATTAATACATTTATCATATTTTGATTTAGAAGAACCAGATGATAAAAACATAGAACAGCAAATAGTTGTATTCATCCAGAGTCTATGTATGCATTCTCATCCCCAATTGACAGTCCAAGTCAGTAAATCATAATTCGCAATTTTACTACAAATGATTCAATCAATATTTGCCCATTTAAGTACTGTTCAAAAGCTTAAATTTACATTTCTCCACACTCTGCAATGACGCAAGCTAATTTAGGTCGGTTATTGGGCCCAGTGGCCACATTCTCAATCTTCCTGACAACCAAAAGGCCATCTCCAAGCACCCTCTGCATAAAAGATAAATGATGACAGGTAAATGCCTAGCACATTCAAACGATGCTAGCTATTGAAAGGCATATCAAGAATTCACGTGTGAAAATTTCTTCTTTTGGTTAAGAAAACTTCAAGAATTGGACTTTGAAACCCAAAGCTACACACACCGCATTGATAGATTCCTACCAGAAAAGAATCATGCAGGAACCAAACTGAAGATTCATGGGTCAATACAAGTTTATCTAAACAATTCAACCAACCTCGTCGCTGAGTGAAATTTTTTATAGATCAGCACAGTATGTAGCGCAACAGAGTTTAACACAAGGCAGCGATATTTAATTGTTCTGTGCCAAAGAATGAAATTAGATAAATGCTTGCTTGTGTGGCTTTCAAGTTTAATATAATATATCTACTTTCGCTCACAGGAGTGATGATTCGACTAGAATCGTTATTTGATCGCAAGCAGGCACAAAGCTGTTGTGGGTCAGCAAATAACCCGTCATAGCGGTTCATTGAAGAAAAATATAATTATATATGCACAAGGAGATATGAGAGCATACCCCAAAAACGACATGCTTGTTGTCTAGCCAGTCACATTTTGCACAGGTTATAAAAAACTGCAATGAAAAAGGAAATGATGATTCTTCAGTAAAATAGAGACAACATAAGATAGAAAGGAGATGAGCACAGAGGAAAGGAGTAGCCATTGAGACGTTACCTGGCAACCATTGGTATTCTGTCCACTATTTGCCTGCAATCACACAAGGAGGATTTAAGCCTTCTACATTTTGCAAGTGTAAGCTGAGCAAAAACTTGTGCAGCTCTCAGGAGTATTTTTTTCTTCCCCTTTTCCTTGGGATTATTATTGTGATGAGATAGATATATTAACAAGATAATTGCATCCCGGAAAAGTAAAATCACTGTTTCCCTTTTTTTTTTTTTTCCAGGGATGAGCAAGAATAAACCAGTCGTGAGGATAGAATGCTGTCCAAGGACAGGATGATCACTTCAGCCATATTAAGCAAAAGAATAAGCATATAAATTTGACACATTCAAGAAGAAAGATGCAAGTTGATACAACGAAGACATACCATTGATAAAAGACCAGGGCCAGTATGCTTGGCCATAAAATTTTCATCGTCAAACTTGTGTCCATAGATGGAAACACATCCACTCCCATCACCCTGTGGAATAAGAAGAATTTATTATTAGGAATTTAGAAATTTAAAAAAAAAAAAGAATTCAACACAATTTTTGTATCTGATAGTATATATAACATAAATACAAATCCACGAATAAAGGCAGAACTGGTGTCAGAGTGGATTCTAGAGGATCAATATAACAACCAAAAATGGTACAAAGACTATTAAACTTAGCATTTTATAATACATTAAAACCAATGGAATCCCAAGCATCTTTTTTTTTTTTGGGGTAACTTTGAGGGCAATGGAGAACCCGTATGCAGCATTCGTGCATAAATAGGATCTATCTAGTCAATAGAATATATGATTCACACCTCTCGAACTACATTGAACTACATAAGAAGGTAACCACTTTTAGCATTCCTTCTAAATCCCTGAATGTCTACTGTAATTGTCATACTAATTATATAATAA